TTTTTGAGTGATATAAATTGAAGGGTAGAATAGGAGATTGCAGTCAGAAAGATCTCATGCTGCTTATGGCATAGACGCCGTTAGGTATTGCGGTTTATGAAATCTATGTCTCATTTAGAATCTTTTAGAATTTTATCATCTACTAAATCTTTGAAGTCGAATAAATTTTCTCCAATGAAAGGCATAGCGAAAACGTGCACTATTAGTTATAAAATTTTTGATAAGCTTTCATCCGTACACAAATTCTAATTTCTATCACATTTTTACTTACTAACCAATTTTGATTGAATTTTTTATGCCGTGCCAATTATTCAGAAGAAGTTGAGTTTCGTGATCCTCAACTTGAAACTTCCTCATCTCGTTCATCTTGCAACATCAACAGCAGTCAGGCTTTCTGGATGCGTAGCAGCTACGCTGATGGTATATACATGAATCCCGACTCTTGGATACGTCGAGATGAACGCCGTAGCCTTGCTCTTGCCAGGGCTCCTTTCGGTTATTACAGCCGTTTAAACCCTGATCGGGAGACGGGTGAGCACATTTTGCACTTTTTACATCCAAGCAAATCGTCTCATATTTAAATCCTTACTAATCGAGAGAGGAAGTCTCTGTGTTTTGAAAATAAAAGTTGTCTCGACTTTATATATATATATATATCAATACAGAGCTATGAAGAATAAATGTCCTCAAAAAGGCGTCTGTTAATAGTTTTATGCCAAATATATATATATATATATATTAAAGAGGCATTCGAATCAGCATTGCCAGATGCAAGGACTTTTAAAAAATATTTAGGTACGAGAGTAAAAGTTGCAGCTATGTACATTTGATTTGGCATAAGTGCATTTTAGTCAACACAATTTTGCCAAGTACCAACATGGGAAATACTTTACCATTTCACAATCTCGTTTCGGCTAATTAAATGCTTCCTAGTGCTTCTGATCCTGCGTTATTCATTTATTTAAAATCAAGGCTAGTCTACAGCATGCGAATATAATTGGTTGGAAGACGTCTTACTTGGGATTAAAAAAAAAAAAAGACAATTTATCCTATTGTTAGTTGAAGATAATAGTATCGTTTATTGGATTAGTACCACTAAAAGTATTACTTTAATTAAGCACCTCCGCAAGAGATTCAAGTATGCAGGCAATTATTTAACTGAACTTTCCCACTACAATGTAAGTTGGGGAGATTATATATTTTTTAAGAGTAATCTGAAAGATGACGATCGCACACCCGGTTTTGAAAAACTTATCACGGATTAAACATTTTTATTTTCTCATAGTTTAACAGATTTATACACTTTTTACTGTCTTAGCCTACTTTTATTTATAATTACTTTTTAAATAAGCTTAATTTCTTCCATATTTAGCTCCTGTCTATTTTTTGTCTGAATCCTTGCCTTTTATTTACAAGATCAAAATCCAACTAACTCATTGTCTAATTGGGAGGTCCGCCAGATGACTGTGCTGCTGGAGATGCCTTTTGTGATAACTTTCGAGCGCCGAGTTAAAGTAAGTTGGAACAGAAGTTTCTTTATATTTCAATCTTAAATTAACCATTGCACTGAATATCCAAATCTAGACGTTTAGATGGCATACTCTGAACTTTTTCCGTTTTCATCTATCCTTTAGCCTACTTGAATAAAATCAGGTAGATTATTAACGTGATGGAATATTTTTATAATGTTCACATTTTATTTATTTCATTAGTAGGAGTCCTAATATCCTTCCTATTTCATCGTGGGCTCATCTCTAAGATTTTGGCTCTCCCAAAGCATGTGCTATCAGCATCTTTATAGGCTTTTTACTATTTTAGACGGCTGCCATAGTGTTTATGGCTTTATTATAGTATTTATTAGCAAATTCGGTCTCCTATTGTTGATATTTCTTGCCTTATGAATATGTGAATTTAGAAATTCTCGTTTCACTTTGAAGAATTATATGTTCGTTATGACCCTTTACTCTCTTGCCTGCCTTATTATTTGTTTCGAACGATCACGCTTCCCATATTTTTGATGGGAAAAAGCTTAGTATTTCAATGAGAACCGCTTCACCATCTCGGCAATCACAATAATCACAATTGGTCTTCTGTAAGCCAAATGTTCGAATCCCTTCCATTCAAATTTAGGATTGAAAGTACTATTACAATTCATTAGCTCCATTAATTACCGAAAGTTAATATGTTGTATTCAGGCGCATTCACGGTGTACGCAGGTTAATTTGATTTAGGTTATCTATAAGCAAAATCTGTGAAGGCAATGTGGACTGACTTAATAGCACAATCTAAGTTTTAGAAACAAGCACGCTGTTATGCTCATATCATTGTTGGAAAATTCAACCATCAGTCCTTAATCGCCTTAAGCAAAATAGGGTGGATACAGCTTTTGTATAAGATCTACTGGTTCTCTCGAAAATCTAGTTATAAACGGATAATACGGATACTGTTGTTTTAAAAGACGACATGGAAATTCTGCTGTAAGTACCTACCACAGTCCTGGTTAGTGATATGCATCTTCTTTTTTGACTGTATTGTTGCCTATATGGATATTATTTTTTATCACTATTCCTCAATCAACATATCCCATTCGAAACTGTTTTCTTTAAAATTCGTTGTCCTGCTATTTTTGATCGCCATAACATAATTTTTTGCTTCATCAGCTCTTCCAGTCTTTCATGGGCTCAGAAAGAATAGGATCCCGTGGCCCAATAAATCATATTACTGCATTCCCATCCGATTTGGATCACGAAGTGGCTATTGCGATCCGTGTTCGGCGAACTCATATATACGAAGATTCCTTTGAGAAACTATCGAAGGAAAATGGTATGCTTCTTGAACAGTTAACCTTGAATTAACTTTTACGCATGCTTCCTGGATGTTATTTAGAAATGTACCAAGTATTTATGCTGTCCCTAATGTCGTTTTTGCTGCGAAATGATTTTTTATTCCCAATAATTCAGTTGCCAGCATTATTTATGGCCTTCCTCTTACAACCTCGTATACTTTATGAAATATAAAGCCAAATGTTGAACTTATCTATCCTTTTCGAGTGAAATGGGAGAAAAATTTCCTTCGCGTAGATGGAACTTCACCATTTCGATTTACTAGAGCTATCGTTATCTTTTGTTATAACTCAATGGGTAAAAATGGAGAATATCCAGGCGTTATACTTTCCGTTCCTGATTTTAGATATTATAAATGTTCCTCAAACTTTTGCCTTTCACAATATCTAATTTTCTATTTTGTATTTTGTTACTAAGCCTAGTAAATTGACTACCTTGCTTCCTCGGACATTACTTCTTGCCCCAACAACGTAGTTTTAATTAATGCTCATCCTTTATTGGCGATATCCTCAGCATTTTGTTTGTGTTACTTTTTATTTGTTCAGAGCCAAACTTGCGAATTCGTCTCAATGTCACATTCCTCAATCCCCTTGGAATTGATGAATTGGGAGTCGACGGAGGCGGCTTATCTCGAGAGTTTCTCAATGAGCTACTTCGGAGTAGTTTCAATCCGCAACGTGGATTCTTTATTTACACCGCAGATAAAGCCTTGTATCCTAATCCTCATTCAAAAGCTGTAACTCCTGACTATCTAAATCACTATTATTTTATAGGACGTATCTTGGCAAAAGTTAGTGACCATAACCTATTCATAATATGCTTTAGAAATATTTGGATTTTCATAAGCTATATTTTGCATGGTGCCATTTGTTTGATCTTCTAAGTTTTTATAATTTTCAGGCCATTTCCGAGAGTATGCTCGTCGAACTTCATTTTGCACATTTTTTCTTGGCCAAAATGGTCAGCCGAACCGGAGGTTATGTTGGTTTTGATTACCTTCAATCTCTAGATCCAGAGTTATACTGGTAGGATATTTTTACTGCTTTGATAATATACGCTAAAAATACTTTTAACTACCTACGACATTTTATTCTCTATCTTTGTAACCCATTTGATTGCTATTGATTTATTTATTAACATAGCTATTATTTTTATAATTTTTGGGTGTAATATTGTTATACATTTGAAAAATATTCTTCTATTTTCTAAGGTAGTTTTACACCTATGTTTGAATTATACCTAGATTTAAAAATGTATTATTAAATATTGCGCAACTGTTTCTGCTTAGGTGTATCGTTGATGTCAGTTATTAATCAAAGACCACAATAATTTACTTTCACTTATGTTCTCACAATAGGCAGTTACATTCCTTGAAGACATATCAAGGAGACGTTCGTGAGCTCGATCTGGACTTCTCCATTGTAGAGACAACTTTTGGCGAAACTCAGATCGTTGACTTGAAGCCTAACGGCCACAGTATTCCAGTAACTGAGGAGAATCGGGTCGAATATGTTCACTTAATGGCTAATTATAAGCTAAATAAACAGGTAGTTAATTGAATATATATATATATATATATATATA